GGTTCATGAAAACCTCAAGGTCATTCTAAAATAAATGATTATTCCAGAACATTTGATTGTCCTCATGGGAAACAAACTCTGAACAAGAGGCTGATGTTAGGACAGCATATGAAGAATGGTTTCCAGTTTTGGCAAAGGTTTCAGAGAAGGGCATATTTTAGCTCCCTATATGATCAGTCTATATGCAAAACATGTCATAGAAAAGCTGGATGAGATTCAGATGAAGCAGGAATTAAAACGGGGGAAAGAAACATCTGTGCTTTTAAGATATGCAGATACAATATTATTGGCAGAAAACAGCAACTCAGAATGTTTATTGAGGAAATTTAAAGAAGGTGGCAAAAATGCAAGATGGTAGCTGAACACTAAGGCCAAAATATATTACAGAAGAATTATATAACTTGAACATTAATTATGAAGAAACTAAAGTTATTGAAGAGTTTGCACATCTTGGTTCAGACATCAATTCAAATGGAGACTACAGCCAAGAAGTCAGAAGATGACTGATAGAACAGCTGTGAGGATACTAGAAAAGATTCTGAAATGTATGGATATATTGCTGGAGACCAAGGCCAAAATTACTGTACCTAAATTAAATCTGGAAGAAAGCTGAGAGAGAAAAACCACATTCATTTGAAATGTGTTGGAAGAGAGCTTTACACATACCAGGAAGCATCAGAAAGACAAGTGGACTCTAGAGCAAATAAAAACTTTCTGGATAGCTCAGTGAATTGGAGTGGGGCCTAGAGTTGGATTCCACACCGTGCCTCTTGAGAGAAAAATCAGCCTACACGCCTTGGGCATGCTGCTTCTAGAACACCACAAGAGGAACAGAGTGGTAAACCAATTCCAAGGACTTTATACCTAGGAAGGGCAGCCATGAGTTATTAATTTTTTGTTAATCCCATACTTCTTCATTCTGGGAGTTCTACCTGACAGACTGACATCTAAAGGTGCCTTATCTGGGAGACAGACCTAAATTGAGAAAGAAAGCTCCCAGGAGCGCCACATTTAGCTGGCTGTATGATGTTTGTCTGCTAACTCCAAGAGTTGAGAATTATAGAACTTGAAGTGGAGAATTATGGGATTTGTAGTCCAAAAATACAAAAATTCCTTCCCCAGTAGGTATATGTCTGAACTGATCTGACTACACATCATTACAGTATTATAATTCAGACAAACCATGGAAGCAAACCATGTGAAGTGTGCTGCTTACATACCACCTTGTAGCACTTAAAGAACTCTCTAGGTAGTTTACAATTTAATTATGTAGGCTACACATTGCTTCCCCCCAGCAAGCTGGGTACTCAGTTTACCAACCTTGGAAAGATAACAGGCTGAGTCAACCCCGAGGAGGTTCCGAGTGAACTTGGGTTGTGAGCAGGGTCTTGACTGGAGTACTGCAGTTTAGCCACTGCACCTTGAGGCTCCTTAGAAGAGTTACTGGAAAAGATAGTTGTATTAAGAAAAGTAGAAGGTAGTAGGAAAAGTGGAAGGTTTAATGTAAGATGTGTTGATGCAATAAAGGAAGTTAAGACTTAGTTCTTAGGGGCCTTAATGACTGGGACTTTTGGAGGTAATTCATAAGGTCCTCCTAAAATGAAAGTGACTGATTAACAGACCACACATAACAACTGGAAGTGGGTTTCCCCAGCCTGATTCCTCCAGAGGTTGTGGGTTTCAACTGCTAAACCCAGTTTAGCCAGCCAGGGCTCTTAAGAAATGTACTGTAGTCCAAAATACTTTGAGGGAGAGACTGGAGAGGGCTGTTGCAGACATCTGGTTAGAGCAGGTGGGATTACTCTAGAGACTCAAATGGCAGCTGCCCACCCCCGTACGTCCGCAGCATTGTTCACTTGCGTGTAAATCTACACTGAACTCATTCCTCCCTATTCTTACTAGTTAAGAAATCTGTCGTTCGAGGACTTGGCGCTGCAGTCCTGTGGGTGCGCATTCAAAAGGAAGGGGCGCTCAGAAGAGAGGTTCCTCCCGAGAGAGTTGATCTAGGCAGGATTTCAGCTTTATTTGTCACTCGGCCACCCATCCCACGCGTCCCGTTGCCAGGGAGTTCAATCCCACGGAACTTTCCAGAGTTTGGAACCGTTCCTTTGCGGGGATTAAAACTCCCGGGACTCCCTGGGCGGCATGGCTGGCTCGGGGACCGGGGACTTGAAGCCCTAAAAGGCACACACTCCGAAGCTCGGAGGGACACGGAGACTTTCTTCCAAGGACGGAAGCAAAAGATCGCAACCGCCGCTAGCTCTCCTGTCTAGACGTCGCGTCGAAAGGTCCCGACAGGCTTTGGAAAGTGGTCCTCTGGGTGCCAGGACGGTGGAAACTGGGCTATGGGGCGGATCCGGCGGGCCCCCGTCCTTTCAGCTCGCCCCGTCGGCGTCCTCCTCACGACAAAGTCTTTCGCGTGAGATGGCCTCGCGCGGGCCCGGCAGCAACCTTTTGCCACGTTGTTGTGTCGCCATTTGGACGGAGAGGGCTGGTCCTCCTCCTCCTCCTCTTCTCCTTCTCTCCCGTTTTTTTTTCTCTCTCTCTCACGAAAGAGGTTAGCATTCAGGAAACCAGTAATTAAAGGGCTCCTCAGCAGGGATCCGGATTAATTTTGGACGCTCGATTAAATCCCAAATTCTTCACACAAATGATTGTCCAGCTCCCTGGGCGGACACAAAGATGATCTTGTGTGTTGGCCCGGAGAAAAGAGAAGTTTTTATTTACAAACTTGCCGCTCGGGCGAGGCTCCGGGGGGCTCTCAACACGCGAACCTGCCCCGGCCCGAGTGTAGTGTGAAA